GTTTTCTCAAATGCCAAGATGGCATACTTTAGGGTAGGGCCAAATATAGCTCAGTGGCAGAGGACTTTTGTAGCATGTATGAGGCTCTGGGTTCAATCAGCAGCTCACACACACACACACACACACACACACAAAAGCATACTTTGGAGTAGCATATATGGAACACTAGCAACACAAAATATAAAACATGATACATGAGAAAACTTGACAAGCAGATAGTATTGTTAAAGTATATCTCATTTGATTTTTCTCTCGTTGAAATTTCAGTTGGATAAAATTAAAGATGATAATAATGATAATGATTTTAAAATAACAATGTCTCCAGCTAAAGAAAAGATATTATAAAACTACTAGTTTGACAGATTGAAATGAGAAACTACCACAGGGTTTTTTTTAAAAACCAATAAATTAAGGTTTAACAGTTAGTATGCTAGAAAAATCATGGGTTCTGCCATTAAGTAAAATGGCAGCCATAAGATAATACACAGTTGTATAGATCCTTTGGTCTACAGAACTCCTAGTAACATTCTTGTGAAGCAATCAGGCTGTATATGTCAATCTTTCAGGTTTTAGTGTTAGTCAAGTGAGAATGCTGAGCAGTGACTGCCATATGGAAACAATAAAGGGTCAAAGAGGAGCTGGAGATAAGCGCTCTTGCTCAGGAAGATCTCAGTGGAGGCCAAAGAGTGTGATCATCTAGTTCCCTAATTTATCGTCTCATAACAGCACCCTTAGATCTTGATGCTGAATCAGAGCACCAAGCATCACTTCAAGAAAGTAAGTCCTTAGCCCTAGATCACAGGGCAGGTCTGCTTTGATGCACACAGTTTGCAGAGTGGTGAATTGGAAGCTTGAAGTTTCCACATTGAAGGCAACAACTTTGATATAAGCTTTGGGGCTGAAATATCAAGAAAAGACTTCTAAGAATCAATTGATGATAAAAGCTTTATCCTGTTTTAACTTACTTTTGTGTGTGTAAAAAGAAAGGTACCAATTATTCTGTTTGCTAAGCTGGTTGCTTGTTCCTGTGGGAGGATGCCTATATTCCATAGTACAGGAATGCTAACCCAAAGAGATGCATCTAATACAACCTTAAATGTAGAGAAAAAAATATCAAGAACCTTAGAACCTTCTGAAAAGGTCTTCATAGCTTAAATAGTATTAGATGGAATAGAAAATATTCAGCTGCTTTAGAAAATGTTAAATAATGAAGTTAGAAATTTACTTATATTAAATAGGATGAACAAATGCAGATGGTTGCAAGCAATGACATTAACAACAACAACAACAACAAAGCCCACTGGGCTTAAAACTCAGGAAAAAATGTATTTGTGAGTGTCAGAATGAATTTTCTAAGACTAAAAAGAGCAAAGTTACAAGTTTGTCTAAATGTAATGATTATACAAAATATTTCCTTAACTACACACTGTTCAGCATTTTCCTAAAAAACCCATGAACTTTAAAATTATGTATTATTTTTATACTTTATGTATTCAATATTTCTAAAAAAATGATATGCCCCAAAAGCATGTGCTTTAACAAAATGATATTTTATTAATAAATAATTTAAAGATATAAGTATAAGAGATTTGTTTTATTGCTTTTTGCTGGTTTGTAAAATGAAGATTTGATTAAGTAGATTTTAAGGTTATTTCCCATATTGGAACTGCAGGATATTGGATATCAAGTCCCTAAAATTATGTAAAATATCAAAGATTTTATAATTAAATAGATAACAATTATTCATGCTCACAGAATTTTCTTAAACATCTGTTGAATATGTTAAAACTACAAAAACATAAATCTGGGCTGGGGATTTAGCTTAGTGGTGCCGCTGCTTGCTTTGCAAGCGCAGGGTCCAGAGTTCGATCCCTGGTAGCAAAAAAACACCCCCAAAACAAAAAACAAACCATAAATCTGAGTAAGAACTCATTTTAAAAATGAAGAAAACTTACAAATTTTACAAATGACTGTAACAAATTTCTCATGAGATGGAATGTGAAAATTTATCAGCAAAAAAAATCATGGTGGAGAGTTCAAGTTCTAAGTTTGATATTAGAATTACAGTTGAAATTTTGTTAAAGAACATTATAATTATATGATGCATTTGTACTTCAGAATAACAACTTTACTACATTACTTAAGCATACATTCTAAATAATTATTCTCTGTGGAAAAGCAACAAAAAATTTTGCTTCAAATTAAGTTTAAAAAAACTAAGAAAATACATTCCATATACTATAGCCTCAAGCAAATCTAAACAAATTTAAAACTCTTTTTTTAACATTTCAGATACTATACAGATGGATTTAAAAATTAAAGATCCCAAATTCATGAAATTTCTCATATAATGTCAGTTTTTTGCTGATTTTTACACCCAGCATAAATACGTGCCCACCAATATACTAAAATTGTGGTCATCAGAATTGCCAGTGGCCTTTACACAGCTAAGTGTAACAGCCAACTTTTAGTCCCCATCTTACTGCCTGCATCATATAACATACGTAATCACTTCTCTCTCCTTGAAACACTTACTTTACTTAGCTTTCTCATCTTTATTTCTCTCTTTATTCTGGTTTTCATATCTTTCACCTCTTAATACTGGGTGTTAACAAGGATTTTTCCTTGTTCTCTTGTCTTTCAATATTCACTCCTCATCTCATCCCTTCTTTTGCACTTAACACACTACATATGCTGAAAGCTTCTAAATTTGTATCTCTAAACCAAAACTTTCCCCTGAACACTGCAGTCCTATGTGTTCACACCCCTCTATATTTACACAAACTATATATAACATCCAAATTTGAATAGCCAATGGAAGTCTCTTATATAACAAAAATAAAAATGAATGTCTACTAGAATTTTCATGAAACATATACGTCTTATCATCTACTACTTTCCCACATAAGTATACTTTAGATTTTCAAGGGACAGTTTTAATTTGATATTTCAAAATGTATTCAAATTTTCATATCTTCCATAATTCACAACTTCTATAATCACATGTAAAACTCAGGAGAAAATGGCAGAAAATTTAAGAAGTCTAAGCAAAAATCTCAATTAGAATTACTGGAAAAATAAAAATGTGTAGAAGGAAACAGTACTTCTTTGAATATGGTCACAAAATTACTCTTCTGATACTAAGCTATTTACATAGGGTATATGACTCAAATTTGTGGTTGTACACATTGCTACAATAATTTATGGCCTTTTGTAGTTCCACATAAGAATGGTAAATCCTCATACATCTGCAAGCTCCTACAGTAGTAATTAAATTCTTAATATCATGATAAAAATATCTGCACATATAAATATATCATACCAAGACCTAATATTAAAAAAAATAAAAGGCACTAATAAAACACAGTAAAAGGAAAAATACACTGCAAATTCAAGTATATTGTTACTTGTATATATCTTATAAAAGCAACTATATCTTTAATCCATCCCTATCTACCACAATTCACAGACATATGTATCTCTCCTAAAATTTCAAAACAACTAATATTTGCACCACATATATATGAGTTGACAGATAACTCAATAGAGTACTTAATGTAAGTCTCACTATTAATTCCATTCTCAGACAAAAACTTGAGATTGAGAAAGATAAGTGATTTACCAAATAAGATAACATATTGTCTATATTTCTTTCAGTTTCATATTTTATTGGTCTTCCTAAATTAACTATTAATAGTAAATAATTTTAAATAATTATAGTACTGTGCCTAAAGTCAGAATCCCAGAATCTGATGAAGTATTCCAATGTATTTTAAGATAGTGTAAATGTAATTATAGTCCAACAAATAACTTTTGATTTGTGGATTAAAAATGCTCTATAGTAGAAGGCACCATAGTAAAAAAATACCAACCATCACAAAATCTGTATATGAAAGGTTAAAACTTGAAGAATAAATTTTGTCTGATGGTACTGTCTTGTAAGAGATTGAAAGTGACAATTCACACTATAGCCTTTCTAATTAAAAAGAAATTCAAGTTTCTAGAAAAAATTGAAAAGTATAAACATTTACTAAAAACTTTCTTCACACAAATAGTTTAACAATAGTTCAGGTAAAAAATAATTTCTACAATTTAAAGCAAAATATTTCTTGAAATGAATATGAAATTATTTATTAATTTAAAGAAAATTCTGGGAATTAATATGAAATTATTTATGAAGATTGTAAAATCATTTAATAATATTAGGTATCATATCCCCGTAACAAGAATTAATCTCATATTTCATGGAGAAACCAAATCATATGTAACAAGGAAAAAAAAAGTCATATGAACTTACACATTGTTGGAAAAATAACAATTACTCAAATAAATTTTTGAATATAAACCCAATAGACATAAAAACACACCACAAGTCATCAAAGGAAATGGACATTTTTTTTCCTCAACAATCACAGGCAAGACAAGAACTAATTGAAAACCAATAAATTAAGTACAGTCCAGCAAACGGTCTCTAGCTCACTCGGCCTATACATCAATAGGTCATTCTCAGTTAATTAAGTGAAGACATAATCAGCTTAATTTATGTAGTTCACAAAAGTTAATGATATAATAGTACAGTACATGACATCTGGCCTGTCTATAAAACTTGTTTTATATGTTTGGTTTATTCCATTTTTCTTCAAAAGAAGCACCTGCCTTCCTGCAGAAGATAGAACAAATGACACTAAAAACAGTGAAGATAAAAGATCATTTATATTCATTTTAAAAATGATTCACTGATGTTTCAGTGAATTATTTTGCATTAAATAAACTGTAGCACTAAGCAGAAAGATTTTTAAAAAAAAAATAAAAATAAATATTGAAAACACTGACATAAATGCACAAAATATGCATATAGTGTTACTAAGAAGATAAACCACTGAAGAAATAAAACATACTCTGCATTGCAATCATAAAACATAGCAGCATGAACTTAAAAGATTAAATAGTTTGTTGATACATTTGTAAGTTGTGTTGCATTTCAACACTAGATTTTATACCTGCTAGTGGATGATCAGGGAGTTTTTTCCACTTTCTCTGTAGCTCATCTTCTCTTTTCTGAAGCTGCAAGTTTACACACAGACAAACCACAATGTCAACCAATTGGACCTCACTTAAGGAACCTAAGAGATCGATTTGTAAAGCAAAGAATGAACAGGACCCTATTTCTGAAGTACGTTGCTCAAACTGCTCTTTCATTAAAAGATGCTCTTTCTTATTGATTTTGGCTTAAGTAATGAGAAAGCTTATCCAAAAATCTTTAGCATTTGGGCTCAAGTTAAGGAAATCAATACAGTCATTTCCTATTTGAACTGCATATGTGAGTTTTATGTACGAGAGACAAGACAAAGCCAAATTCAGATAAATCAATAGCATTGTCAATAGAACATGAAGCTGACAAATGGCATTTTTCAGCAATTAAAGTGAACTGTAAACATACAAAGACTAATCAATTACAATGTTTTGTCATTGACAATTTTTAATTGGTACAAAAGTTGTATGTGAATGTGACTCCCCAGAAATTAAGAATAAAATTTTACTTCAGCATCATATGCTAACATTTTACTAATGTTCCTTGAACACACAGATAGTTTTATATTTTTCAAAGTAAAGTAAAACCTTAATTTAAGGCAGAATATATTTGAATAAAAAATGATCAATATAAGCTACTAAAATATCTTATTAATATAGTAAGAGTACATGTACTGCATCTTTGCTTTCAGATCATTGTTAAAGATTTTATAATATCATTTTGAAACCATTAATAGAAAAATTAAATAACATAATTAAATTAAAATAATAACACTATTCCTAAATATAAGAAATTAAAATATAAGTTAAAATATTACATTTCTTTCATGATTGTAGTCTTTAAGATTTTTATGGTTATATGTGAATGATTCAAATAATTATTCAGATGCCTTTTTAAAAAATGTTTCATATTAATGATAACCTGTGAAAATGCTATTATGGTTTGCCATTACTCTGAAGTATTCAAGAAAATTGGTGTTCAGATAGCCAAATATAATTCATAATATGCTAAGATAGGCTTATCATTAAGATGCAGATAAAACCTTTGTTTTTAATAAAAAATGATATAACAAAAGTAAAAGGTTAATTGAAAAGCAAAATAAACTACCGAGTTTAGTAAGGCACATTACCTAGATTAACAGAAATCAATGAAATCATTAAAACAATTAATAACTTAGAGCTCCATTCAGACTAAGATAAACTCTGTGGCTATTAGAATGTGGATACAAGGCTACAGAGACATATCTATTCTGACTGGGTAATTTCCTCTCCTCTCTAACAGATCAGTAATATATGCAACTGGCATTATGCAGCCACCCATTTCTTCTTGTAAGACATGAGATCTTCCAAGCATTTTACTCACCATGCTAAGTGAATCATAAGAACAACAGTCTTTACAGAAGGGAACACATTTCTCCCCAGTGTTCAGGATACAAAATGGGCCATTAAACCACTGATGATATTAATCAAAGCCTCATAATTGTTTAGCCTTTTCCATGGGCACAAAAAGAAAAAAAAATGTTCGGAGTTCCAGATAAACAGGAATGTATTTACAACAAAAATAGGCACAGAATTCTTCCAAATGACAACGAAGTTTCATCTAAAACTATCAAATACTTATCTGAAGATCCTATTTCAGGAAGAGATTGAGAAAACTCATAGCTTCATGAGTTACTTGAAAAAAATTATAAGTACTTTCTTTTTTCTTGAAACATTTTTTAAAGTGAAAATATTAAGATTGAACAGAAATGTAAGGCAATACTATTCCTACGCAATGTAACATAATACCATAGTTATAAGGAAATACTACAAACAGAAAAGAATGCTTGGTATTTAATTCTATACCAAAGCTTTAGCCTTATTCTAAAGAAAGTTTGTGCTTTCCTCTTACTAAGGAAAGGATACAGATGACATTTTATCATATTTCAAGACTATCATGACAACTCCCTCGAATGACAAGACTCAATGATCGTACATTATTTTGATCTTTTAAAATCAGACTAAAACAAAAAATATATGAGTTCTCCCCAATTGAAATATAAGCCTAAAATAACTCATTACGCTGGATATTTTTGTATTTATTATGAAAAAATCTGACTTCCAGTAAAAGCAAAACAAATTTTATTCAGTATTTTAATCTCTAAGAAAATGCAAATTATTGGCAAACATTTAAGACATGCAATCAAGCAACCACAATCTGAGATCTTAAATTTTTGAAAAGGATACTGAAGAATGACACTGCAGAAGAATATTTTATGTAGGTAATTAAGAAATTACACAAGCAATGTATTTAAAAATAAACCAAATAGAAAGTGGTACACTAAAAAAATCATTTTAATTAAATCATCTAGGGAAAACAATATCCCACTTTAAAAAATGAACATGATTCATGTTTAAAATGTATATGATTTAGACAAAATCCTATGAAATCAACAGATACACATTAATTGAATAGGTATACTAAAACTAAATTGAGATAGGCATTAAGTTCCAGGTCTTCTATTTGCTAGCTGGGGTGACTTTGATAAAATATTTATTTTTCTCTGATTTTCTTATCCATACAAAGAGGAGAAAGTAACATTTTCAGTGGGCTGTGGTGAAGACTTGATCAGGTGATATATGCTGTACTTGGCTCAGTGATTACCACATGGTTGTCCTGGGTTAAATGCCTCCTTGCCAAATGAATTTATTAGTTTATTATTTAATAAACATTAGTCCTAAGATAATGTAAAATGTGAATAAAATATAGAAAATTTAAATAAAATATAGAAATTGCTAGCCAAGTTATTTTTTATAAATATACCTAGAAATTTTTTTATTGCATGTGCAAATAGTTATATTGAATAATTTTGCTAACCAATTGTCAGATAGCTTTGAAATCATTCAATCATGCACTTAACAAACTCATAATGAACACTATGTAGAAGTCACAAGATTTTTAAACCATTATCAGGTATAAGTTGTTAAATGATGTCCATTAACAAAATCATTGTACATATAAATGAAAATTCTTACAGTCAATGCCAAAATAATACATAAATAATGATATTTTCTCAAGCATCATTACCCTAAGGAGTAACAGCAGATGACAGTTACTTTGCCCAACTTTCTGTTTCCATCTTGGCTCAGAGGTAAGTAGAAAATAAACACAAGAAGAATCAAGTCTCAATTTGTGCTTTCACACAAAGATATATTACCAGAAGCCAGACTCTAAAATCAGATTTAGTGTCCCCATCTATGAAGTGTAGAAAATAATATGTGCTTGTCTTTCATTTTGGATCTTTGTACGATAATTAGAGAGATAAAACATACTGCATAAACATTTAAAGATATAAAGATATAACCTTTGAAGAACTAGGTCAGTATGATAATTTTTGCAAAATATATAACCAGCATTTCATATTCTTATTCCCCTAGTAATACTAAGTAGTTTACAAATTGCTGAAGAACTACTCATGCTTTCTCTGTTTTACATCTTTTGTACTGCTATAGTTCCCGCCATCTGTTTCTAGACCTACTGCTTTAAGACTCAGATCAGATAGGTCTTGTTTTAGGAAGTCTTTTTTGACCTTCCCCACTCCACTCCATTCACTATTGATTCAACTTCCATTTATGTGTGCTTCTAAATTCCCCTGTCATCTCTCTATAAGAGCACTTTGACTATTGCTAATTGCCTTTTTATTTGCTCCCCTCTGTTAGTTACCACAGTGGAAACTGAATGGGACAGAAACCGTAAATTATATATATATGACATAGCAAGTCTTTTGTAAAAGTTTATAAAGGTTATATTAGTAAATGAATTAATATTACGTTTGAAAAAAATTTTTTAGTACTACAAACTCTATAAAGCACTTCATAAAATTATTTCATTTTATTTTCAAAATGAACCCTCCTAGAAAAGACGTATGATTATTATTATTACAATATCCTAGATAAGAATACATATGAGAAATTAGATAATGGCCAAAATTACTCACATGATCAATGGTGGATCTCAGACTCAAAGTTCTTTCCACCTCTATACTCCCTGACTTCTACTAGCTACCTCCTCATTTTTAATTTCAGAAATTGTTTTACAAATTTTCCAAGAGAAGTCAGATCCTGGTTGAATAATGCAATGTAAATTATGTTATGACACTAAACATACGAGTCATGTTTTATTCCTTTTTAATAATATATAGTAGTGCTAAACATGCTAAAATATTTTGTTTCATGATATCACCTTTAAAAGGCTATATAAATTACTGTTTGTTTATTTATTCAATAAATACTATCAAGCACATTATGTAGTAGATGTTGGAGACAAAGCAGTAAACTAGGTGGAGAAAAACAATACACTCATGAAATTTGTTTTGTAGATCACTCTTATTTATTATGTGCCAAATACAATTCTACACACATTACATGTATTAACTTACCATGATCTTTATAACAACTCTATGAAATTATTACTATCATGCCAATTTTACAGTAAATAAGCAATAAGGTAAAAGAAGGTTAAGTAATTTGACTAAAACTACAAGTTTCAAAAGGTGAATTAAAAATTTGAAGCAAGATTTCTGGACAATGAAATTGAAATCCAGGCAAGAGAACTATGTTAGTGGATCCTATCATCCAGCCCAAAGGCAGGATGCTGTGGATTCCACTAGAGTCATGACTGCTATGACTGGATAGAGCACTGGCTCCATTCACTGTACTTTCCTGTTCTGCAGATTCACTGATACCAAACAACTTGGCAGTCATCTTTTATATTTATCCATCAAAATTACCATTACCTCATACTTTCGGTTGGGTAATATGATGATGTCAGCTGCATTTTGTTCATGTGAATTGCTTTATAGAATTACAGGGTAGTCTACTTATACCTGTTTCCCAGGATGGGAGATCTATTTGTGCTTCATTTAAAAATGTTAGATCATTCTCAATTTCATATTTTAAGAGAATCATGGCTGGCAGACTTTGACAACAAAAGTTGCATGAACTTGAAACAGAAATATGCTTTTATTATTACTAAATCATAGAACTGAACTTTG